GTTTCGGCTCGCTGCCAGCGCAGGTTAAGGCGTTCTTTGACTCGGCCGGTGGCCTGTGGGCTGCTGGGGCTCTGGTAGGCAAGCCTGCCGGTATCTTCTTCAGCACGGGCACTCAGGGCGGCGGTCAGGAGACAACGGCCTTCACTGCCTTGACGTTCCTAGCTCACCAGGGTCTCACCTTCGTGCCACTGGGCTACCGTGCCCCTGAGCTTTTCAACATGGACGAGCTTCACGGTGGATCCCCGTGGGGAGCGGGAACTCTGGCCGGCGGCGATGGCTCTCGCCAGCCGTCGAAGCCGGAGCTGACGGTCGCTACCACCCAGGGTAAGTCGTTCGCTGAAGTGGCCAAGAAGCTGGCGGCTTAAGCACTGCGATTATTTGTGTGTGTGTGTCTTGGCTCAAGCTAAATTCTAATGCAATAAAATTTAGTTTTACACGGAAATGCGCTTCCTATTAAAAAAAAAGTCAAGCTATAGACAGAGAAATGAGTTCATAAGGGCAAGATTCGTCTTCATAATAGATCAACTCGAGGGATGATGGAAGTGCGCGCATTTAATGTCCGTAGAATGCTCGAGGTGGAGATCAAATGACCAGGGGTGTGAAAATTAAAAAAAGTTGGACTAATATTAGCTCAGACAAAAATTTATATTTCAGTTATTTTATTCCATTGAAACCGATCTTTGGGGGCTTTCATGGGGATAGGGTCAACCCACGTGGGTTTTAAAGAGCCTATAAACATATTGTAAATTCCTGTTATATTTTGCGAACCGGACTGGTTCGACGAGTCGCCAGTTCAATCGGCCGAGATCGGTCATTGGTCAAAAAATTAAGCAAGTTCTCTCGTTTGCATCTCTCGTCGCTGTCGTCTCGTGTCGCCTGGTATCGTGCCGCCGTTGATCTCTAGTCGGTGTGGCCTCGTACCAAGGTGTATCTCTCGCTGCCGTGGATCTATTGTCGTGTGGCCCTGATCGCCGTGGTACTGTGGCTCTGTGTCGCCGTGATCTCTCGTCGCCGTGGTCTCGTGTCGTGCATCCGTGGATTTTATTCTTAACGTGGCCTCGTTTTGCTGTGGCCCTGTGTCGTCGTGGCCCTGTATCACCGTGGATCTCTTGCCGCCGTGGGCTTGTGCTGCTGTAGCACTGAGTCCCTGTGGACATCGTGCCGTGCGGCCCTGAGTCGCCGTGGGATCGCTTGTCGCTGTATACCTCGCGTCACTCAATAAGATGGAAGATGCAGCTACTAAGCAGCACGCCCATCAGAACACGGTCTTCCACTGTCTGTACGGCTACTACTACCTCGGCTACTCGAGGAAAGAGCTGGCATGCATTTACAACAAAACTCCACAAACTATTGGTAACTGGGTTCGTGTGTACGAAGAGACGGGAACCTACCAGCGTATCACAACAAAGTCTGACAGGAAATTTTCAGACGAGCAACGCCTTTGGCTTTGTGGATTTTTTCGAAGAGAGACCACTGTCATATCTTAACAAGGCTCAAGATTCATTTCGCAAGCAGTTTCAGCTTAGCATATCAAAGACATCTGTATGGAGAATAATACACGATTTTGGTCTCACTTGGAAAGTATTGGAGCGCCGCGCGATTCATATAAAAGAGCGTGACATCTTTCGTTTCGCTGAAGAGCTTAGCCACATTAATTGGACACACCAGAATATTGTCTTTCTGGACGAAGTATCGTTTGACAACAGGGGAATGCTGCGGAAGCGTGGTTACGCTCTTCGAGGGCATAACTGGCAATTCGCGGTGAGTTTCAACGGAAGCTGTGGTGTAGCGGGATCATCAAAATCCGCGAGATTGCCAGATCCAACTTACCAACTGCGCCCAGACACCGACTAACGGAGGGGGTCCCCCGATGATCCGTGTTCTGCTGAACTTTCCTCACCTTGTGTACCCGTCGGTAGGGCGGGATCTGCTCTCTCGGTAACTTCCGAAGAGTTCAAGTGGTGAAGCTTGAGTGTCTTGGCGAGACGTGGGGATGGGGTGGAGCAGCAGTGGAAAATCTTCACTCTGCGTCCGTGGATGGTTCCGTATCCTAAGCGAATATTCGAGCTTATGGATCCGGGGCCTAGATCGTGGATCTAGCCGTAGGGTTGCCTTGCGGGTGTGTTCCCTTGCCTTTGTGTTGTCCTTTAAGTCGTACTTGCCGCCTCCTGTGACGGGATCTTGAGAGTTGAGAACCTCTAGGGTGTAACCGACCAAGTAGTAAATTCGGTTAACCTGTCGGATCTGCACGAGTAAAGGAAAAGCTCACTAGGTTGTAGGATCTGGCCAATGTATTATCCAGTTATCACTACCAACACTAGATTCGCAATTCCCAACCTTCTCGGAGCTCGTACGGCCAATGTAGTTCCGGTTCTTGAGGGCAGGAAGGCACTTGCGTGATACTGTGCAAATTGAGGTCTGTATTGATATTTAAGCCTATACCTGCCTGGATTTCTACCCTCTATGTCTTTCATCTGCTAAATCCCTTACCAGGCTCGGGCTGCATGTCCCTTCTTCCCTTGACCCATCATCCCAGCTGTGTTATCTTCAGATCCACCGGATATATGACGTAATCATCATGGTCACCCTGTT